GGTTTGGATCTGGTCTGTCTTTTTTTGGATCATCCACTGAATAATGGACGGTTCCGACGAGACAAACAATGCTAAGTTCTTCCCCTCACTTTGATAACGGCCTCTTTTGACACTCTCATCCACAATCCCTGCATCTTACCAAGCGTTTTCATACACTCTGACCAACTTTTTCTTCAGGTTGTTGGAAAGAGCGTTTGCCTCATTTAGGAACACTATCGTCACCGCGTGCTCTTTCAGCCATCGGATATTCAAATTGGAGAATTCCTCATTTATGCTGAACCGAGCTAAATCCTCCTCAATCTCAGCGACCACTATGTTGAGGCCGGTTGGTAGTATCCCTTCTCTGAAGCAAGCGGTGAGGAGGGTGGAGATGTGTTCCTTTTCTTCGTTAGTGTACTGTCTTAGTGACGCATGATTCCCCCGGGCTTCATTACCCGGGGGAATCGACGATCCGCTCATCCCCCACATACCAATTAGCAGCAATAGATAGAAGCAAAATAAGGTTAACCGAGGCTTATCAACCGGAGTAAAAAGGTTACCAATCATGAAAGCCAGATGCAATTGGTTTCAAGGACTTAGGGATATACCTAAAATGGTATAAGGTTACCTTACTCCCAACTTGGGAGTAGTCCAGACATCCAGATTTCTTCAACAGGTCGTCATCCCAATGGTGCGAGGTCGATGCTGACGTCACCAATTCTTGAAGCAGAATCACCCGGGGGGGGTTAGGAAAACCAGGCCGCTACCCGATGGGAATACCCATCCTCCAAGAGGATGTTACTTGTTCTAGATGAACAGAGGCTTTACCCCCCCGAAACCGCCGCAGCAAAGCTATGGCGGGCAAACGGCCCGATTGTAACAGCCGTACTCTCGGGACTGCCGTTGTGAGAAACGCTGCTCGCGTAGCCGCAATGGCGCCTGGACCCTAACACTGATAGTACCGCCTCCTGCCGTTAACCCTAGCGCTAATTTTGCGACCGCAGAATTAGCGCAGGATTAGCGCTGGAGGTGCGCTATCGTCCCCCCGATCTCCCCTCGTCATCAGCATTCCTTCGACGGTCCTAATCGCAGGCCCAAGTTCTGGTCCTACGATCCTGGCCAAAAACGGCCTGCCTGGGTCCCTACTGGACGTCCAGACAACCCTGCTGATGCAGCACGGTCCTGAGGACTGGGCCAGGCACAAACAGACGAATGTCTGGTCCTGTCCCAGATACGGACAAATCTGAACCTGGCCTACAACGGCCGAAACTGAAATCCACTGGTCCGAACAGGCATCTGCCTGTTCGGACAAACTGAAAAGTCTGAACTGACACATCTGAAACAGACAAAAAAAGTTGTCCAGATAAAACCCAGCCCCAAACTCGGACAAACTGAAAAGTCCGAATTGACACATCTGAAACAGACAAAAAAATTGTCCAGATAAAACCCAGCCCCAAACTCACTCGGCAAAATAAATGAATAAATGCTGAAAAAGGAAAGCGAATGGGACAAAGGATATGAGCCTAGGCCCAAAACGTGACCGAKGCCCACCACATCGCCCAGCCTAMGGGGCTGTGCGGCCTGAGGGCCGAGAAGGAGAATATCGGGCCTGAAGAGCCAGCRTAGCCGYGTGTAAGACGCTACACCAAGGMAATGGATGCCTTCCAATTAGCGTCCGGACAGAGACGACCACGGGAGTCTTCGGTCGGTTATTACTTACCCACTTATTAGCTTATTAAATACCCACTTASTTTGTATAACTTTGTAAATGCCCTYATCTGCAGATCCAGGTCCAGGATTCCCAACCCACCGCTGCTCTTACTGAGCACGACGTATTTCCAGGATACCTTTAGGTACAATAAAACATTCTTTAGAAGGGTCACCCATCCATACACAGGCCTTGTCCAGAGATTTTTTTTGTTTTGTTTTCTTTGTTTTTTTTGGGGGGGCCCATTTTGTCGATTTATGCGTGTCATCCTTGCGCAGGGCCCATGCTAATCTTCTCTGTATCGCTCCAATTTTAACGAATGTCCCGAAGGACACCGTCCAGAGAAGAATTTTGCTTGTCCACAGAGGGATTTTTGCAAATCTGCGCATTGTTTGTGAATGCCTCAAAAATAGAGGCAGCTTATGTGTACGTATCGTACAGCCCCCATGCATGTACATCTATGCACATACAGTTTTAGGACCTTCCTAGAGAGGCATCAAAGCACATTCGGCACGTATAGCTGACAAGTGAATGCCACACACAATAGCACTTTTGATCTTAGAGGTTCGGGGACCAAATACCACCAGAGCAACATTTGGGCCTAACTTCCCCCCAACCCTGTACATCTATGCACAGTGCACACACAGTTCTAGTATCAAAATGATCAAAGCACGTCCGACATTTACGGCTGACAAGTTGTGTGACAACTGTATGCCACACACATACAACTGTCAATCTAGAGGTTCAGGGATCAAATACCACCACAGCACCATTTTTTGGGGTTAAACTTTCCCGAACCCCGTTCCTGACCCACCTCAGTTGCACACGTCACACAACCACACACATGTCACACAACGACACACACATCCATCCTTGATTGGGCAGCTCACACGTAGCACACACACACACACGTCACACAGACGTCCACCACTTGCATCCTTCCACATCAAAAGGGAAACAAGGCACTGAAACAAGGCAGTGAGTCCCTCCATGATGTGCGGATACCCCACATGCGCATACCCTAGTAGGCTAGTATTGAGGGTATGTACTATGTGCATGATAGGTATCTGAGTACTATCGACATTCCCTAGTATTTTTTCTCGTCCATTCTGCAATCTGCATTTAATTATTTTAATATTGTTTGTCAAAAGTTGAGAATGGACGGCCGTCACACAAGATTTCTCTTGCTAGCMATTGGGCATGTATGATCTATGACTGTCACATTTCCTTCGGTGAATCGGGCTCCTGGCTTTGCCTTGTTGATGTTATCCTTGATTCGAGTTCAGACGAGGAAGACGAGGAAGGTTGCAAAAAAAGAGAGAAAAAAATAAAGACGAGGAAGGTTCAACTCAAAGCTCTTTTTCCTTTTTTCCTTTTTTCCTTTTCCCCTCGAAGATTAGACATCTCTGAAATTTTTTATTTCCCCCCCATTCTCCTGAAATAGGAAACTCCTTAGCATTAACAGCGACCATGCTCACACTTGGGCTTTCTGGACTGAATCTGGTCTTCATTTGAGGAGTCGTCCTTGTTAGGTACCCCTCGAAATGCCGGAAACAAGATTACGACCATTCTGAAATATGGGCTGGGGAGCCTAATACAGCTGCGAGTCTGCCTTTTTTTCTTTTTTTTTGGGGTGCCAAGGATTGGCAAGGAGTTTTATTATCTTTTTTAAGTTTTTTTAAAATTTTTAATTTTTTTTTTATAGTTTTTTTCTTCTTTTTTTTTCAGACTTCAGGGGCGGAGTCCCACTAGCAAAGAGGACTGGATAGAATGCCTGAATCTGGGCGAGTTGATGGAGAGGTGCAGATAATCGCAATTGATTCTATTTTTTTTCTTTTTCTTTTCTTTCTTAAGAAGGGCGACGGCCTTGAGATATTATCATTGAGCTGACACCCGCCCCAGGCAATTCATTAGTAGTTGGTTTTCAGTGCTTTTCACTCATCAAGTTCCATCATCCGGATTCGAACACAGGTCTGTATTTCAACAGTTCATGGGTGTACCCACTGATTCTGCTTTTCTGTATCTCTGCTTTAACCCTCATCTAGAGTTAGGCGCAAAATCCAATCCTCTATTGCTAGTCGGACTGTGATCCACAACTACTTGGCAACAAAAAAAAAAGAAAAAAAAAAAGAACTGCCTGGCACAGTCGCATGTTGGCGGTGGAGGTACCAGAAAATTCACTGTATTGGGCCTCGCTGCACGACTCTCGAAAAGTGCAAAACGAGAGTGAATCTTCCGCTAGAATATGGAAAGATACACGGCCATGACTTTTGTCTTTTGTGCATTTCAAGAGTAGTGCAGCGAGGCCCATTGTTGAAACCTGCCTTACCGAAAGAGCTGTGATCAGGGTTGCTTGGGAAAGAATGCGAACATAATGAAAAAAGGAAAGGGAAAAAAAAAAAAAAAGGGGAAGAAGACACGTGCCAAATTGGGACGAGTTTTGCTTTTTACCAAGTTTTTAGGCTAAAGACGAAAACCACAGAAAAGCACCAACGAGCCTAGCTCAGCGGGTACACCCATGAACCGTTGAAATTTTTGAAATAGAGACCTGAGTTCAAATCCTGCTGCACCTTGACGAATGGAACAAATCATTCTGAATTACCTAGGGCCGGTTCTATCAATGAACATATCCCAAGGCCGTCGCCCTTTTTTTTTTCCTTTTCCAAAAAACCATGGCAAAGCCGTGTGCCAAATTTTCCTCTCAAGTTKTTTTTTTTTTTTTTTTCTATAAAGGCTAATTCTTTTAAGCCCAACCAATTCAATTACCTGTCAAATCTGGACAGGACAGCCTTTCAGGCCTTTTTTATTGTCATTATAGTATCACGGGGAACCCCGTAGCAGCCACATCCGTGCTCAAGCCTCCAACGAGGGAACATGCGGGAGCTGCACCCACCAGCAGGTGCGATACCCCTGCTACAGCAGGTGGGCGAGACTGGCCAGGGGTCAAGCCGGTAGCATCAGGACCGAGCTTCTTCGATGGGCCAGTCACTGTGCCTCCCCTCCGGTCCCCTCCCCCTATGAACATCAGCAGTCACTGCTCAATGCCACTCGGGGGGACCAACGGCATATCTCTAGGTGGCGGGCGCCAAGCTTGCCCAGGAAGGTACATGAGGCCAATGGGGATTGAACCCAAGACCTCCTGAATGCCACGTGCGTGCCTTACCAACGGAGCTAGGCCGCTGGACTCCTCTCAAGTTTTGGCTACATGGTATATGCTATATGCTATATAGTTTAGTATATACAGATTACTACAGCGTTTGTTGTTCAAGATTTCTCGTAGACCATTAGGAAAACGGAGTTCGCTAGTGCTTACCTCATAAATCATCGCCGCAGCCACTCCGTAAGTGACACCTGTCCACACCTCCCTTGATTGCATGCTTCCAGAATCGACCTGCCAAAGGCCAAAAATAGCACAGACGTAAAACAGTTTAAAATTTCAAATAGCACCAGTAGACTCAACCTGTTGTTCATTTTCCATGAATCATGCAGAGGAAAGATTCCAACGAGCTGCTTGATTGGATAACCCGAGAGAATGGGCCGTGCTCCACTACCCAACACTCGTTATGTATCTGGAGGTCGTAATCGTCCCGATCCGTTCCAAACGTTGGACTCCTCTCAATGCACCTAGTCCACATAAGCGTCCAAGTGTATGTGGGTTGCTGAATAGTGGAGTGTCGAGTAGTGGAGTGAGGCCCAATAGAACTGTTTACTGTTTACTGATATTGCTTTGCACCTTCCTTTCTTCTTCCTTCTGAGCGGTACATACGCAATGCTGCAGCAGATCCTTTTTTTTTTCTTTTTCTTCTAACATAATCAATGCTGCAGCAGATCCATTTCAGATAAGGGAAGGCAAAAATGGAATGCCTTTATCAAATAAGTCCTGGGATAACTTCCGGAAAGTGTCGTTTCAGTTCCGGCCTCGCAAAAAAGACTGCACATTGCAGAAAAGTGAGTCCGAAAACAGAAACTGCAGAAATGTGTTTTGGGCTGCAGAAAAGTAAGTGCAACCCAAAAAATGGAATAACAGAAAAGTGCAAAGTTGCAAACCCAATAGCTGGGCCAAGAAGTACTGGTGGTTTAAACTTTAAACCACCAGTCACTCAAACCACCAGTCCATCCAAGCCTCTTTTTCCTGACCTGGATTTCCACTGCACGCCAACGAAAAATGAATTGGCGTGGGAGCTAAACATTTTCTTTTTTTTTTTGCCTGGTGCCGCCAGCCTTTTCCTTCTGGTAGGCCGAGCCCCCAACTATGGGGTGGGTTAACTGCCGAGTCGGCACAAAATAACTGGGAAAGGGACTGGTGGTTTAAACCACCAGGACTTCCTAAAGTTGTGCCCGTTAACAACAGGAGCGCCCAAATTCATCCGACTAGAAATGTTTCAACTTTATTGTTTTTTTCTGCGCTGGATAGCTGGGCCAAGTGCTGGTGGTTTAACGTTGCTGGCATTGGGGTGCCTTCACAAAAGCCTTGTGAGGCTCAAGAGCGAAGTGCACCGTTGGCACGCTGGCCCTGTCGAGGCATCGGATCAATACAGCGAAAGTCTGGCCACCTTCGAGCAAACTGCCTGAAGGAAAAACAAGAAACCAATCGCCCATACATCGACCGCTATGAAAAATAGGGCCGTGACGTTTCCCACTCGAATGGATTTGCACCCGAGCCGCCAGGCCCGTTTGAACCGGTGCTTCGCGGCTCGCGACTTTCGGAAGTATTGGCGGTCTAAGGAGGAAAAGAAGAACTGCCAAAAGAGAACACCTCAGAAAAGATTCATTTCCATCCAATTCCATTCAAAAGATGGTCAACAGACCCTCCGTTCCTTTTTTTTTTTTTTTTTTTTTTTTTTTCCGGGACCTTTTTTCAAATTTTTTGGGTTATCATAGCTCCTGTCTCTTATACACATCTAGATGTGTATAAGAGACAGGTTGTTAACGGGCACAACTTTAGGAAGTCCTGGTGGTTTAAACCACCAGTCCCTTTCCCAGTTATTTTGTGCCGACTCGGCAGTTAACCCACCCC